ACATAAACTACTCAGACATGAACAAAACCCATAAAGACTGGACCCACAACCAGGCGTTTATTCAAATTCAGGGAATCAAACCTCTTTACATGTGAAGCCCCTGCTGTGCCATTAAAAACACCTCTGGGCAGTGTTTGCCATTCCTTGATGCTCTGATCGGCTGGTTCCCGCAAAGCATGACGCATGAACCCATTTAAATTAACAAAGGAATGGGTTTCTTCTAATCTCACCACACTTCATAGTGCTGTGGCCGCTTGGATGAGCAATATATCATAGCACATGTATACACACGCACAAACAAATGCCCTTGAGCTCTGCACATGCCGAGCCGGAGTATACACTTCGTTTGGAAAGAGGGTACCAAATAATTTGCAACCACTGTACTATGGTGTACACACGATCAATTGGACCCACAGTTTGTGCAAAATGTTGAATACACAACCAATGTATGTGTTGTGTCGGCTAAATCTGATACAAAATCTCTCCCTGCACTTTCCACACATATTTGCATGCACATGCACCTTTTTGCAGACACAAACACAAACACACATTTATGCATGTATTCATGTCTCCAGCTGAGAGTAACACTGCTGCAGCTTTGATGTGGCAGCAGGCGACGGCACAAAAGACAAGCAGGCTGATGAAAGTGGCTGGTCTGTGAATTATTCCTCTGGTTGTCAATATGCTCCACTATGAGATGAAGCACACACTACAAGGGTACAAGGGTACGGGTAAATATACATGTCATTGCCATGAAGCAATTATTAGGCAAAATTAGATCAGTAATTACAGGCTTGAAAATAAAGTGGGAGATCTTTATTAGTGCAGCCACTTGCTATTCAACAAATAAGAGGAGAGAGGCACATTAATGAGAGTGGACCGCCGACAGACGGTGGGAAAAACTGAACGGAACTTCTCTTTCAAGACCTGAGCTGAACAGGGCAAGTATGTTTCTCTGTCAAACTGGAAAACCAGCTTCCATTAAAAAAGATGCATTGAATCATTTGCATTTAAGTAAAGCTACATATGATTAATTTAATTGTGTTGAGTAAACCTGGTCATATATGATTATCTGATATTCCATATGGATATTCTTCCAAATCAACAAAGGCTTAAAATGGTGAATCAAAATCTGCGTCAATCAGGTTTTGATTCTCCTTAAACACGATTCTGTGTCTTTGAGGACTGTCCTCGTAGAAAGGCAGTAAATATTACTTTTGTTCAGTTAACAATGTGCATTTTGTGACTTCAGTATTAATTTAAACCAATGCCCACCAAAGAAAATTGCTGAGTTTGTTCTCTACAATTAGATATTCCTTTTGAATTTGAAAACTTTTTTATTTTTTTTTTATTTTAATTTGAACTCCATTAACCTCAACCATTGAGGTGCTGGCCAAACCAGCAGAGCTAAATAAAACAAAACCTATTTAATAACTTGAAAGATAAGACTCTTTAGGAATATTATCTGGTAAAAAGTAACTTTTTTCTTCTGCTGAATTTTATCTTGATGTCATAATTTTCATGCCACTCTCAATCCTACTGGCTTAGAGTCTTTGTCCCTTTATGTTTTCACATTTATGTTTAAAAGTCATATCTGTTGACCTTCTGATTGTTCAACTTAGTGTTCATCTGCACATCTATTGCAAGTCTCATGAGGCTCAAATATTTATTCAAGCCTTTCTCAGCCACGTTTATGTGGGACAGAAATGGGAAGGGAAAAAAAAGCAGTATGTCACACTACACCCCCAACCACACACATACCTCTAGCTACAGTAATATTAATGATCCATTCACAGGAGCCTATTACTCATTCAGCCATTACAGCAACTTTCAAATCCCCAGTGGAGAAGTCACATGCTCACACAATATCAGATCACAATCAAAGAAAACATTTGGATCAAATCTACAACGAACAATGCTGAGTAAATGTAAGTGAGACAGTTCTGATGAAAAATACAGAAGAATTAAATTATTCACTAAAAATTCTAGTTCTAACCAGTCTTCTCTGACCTCTCTCATGTTTTTAGGTTTTCCACACTTTTCTGATTTAACTCTTAATTGTTTCGTGTAAACATTCCAGGAGAAATTTCAGAAATCCGTTTACTATAACATCTGACATCAACAATCCCTCCACATAGTCACTGAGACCACTGTTCTGATGTTTGATGTGAGCATTCACTGAAGTTCCTGACTTCCATAACTTTAGGCCCTGCACCACTTTGACATGATTGCATGGATACAGAGGTGTTCGTGTAAAGTGCTTGATGAGTGTGTGTGTATATATCCTTGCTCTGGTGCAGTCCTCAACCTATACAATCTCTGAGTGACTTCATCTTTCAGAACAGTGCTCATCCTCCTGTCTCTTCCTCCAAATCACAGCATTAGCTGGGACAGTGAACTGGTGCTGGCTTGCCAGGGACAAAAGAGTGTTCTCTCGCCTCAAGGGGAGACGGCAAAGGGCACAGGAAAAATAGTTTGAGTGATGCCTCTGTCTCGCTGACTAATGAACAGTTCAGCCCAGGTCAATCCATTACAACCAAAAGCATTTAATTATTAATTACGGCCGATCCATAGGCAGTTAAGGACAAGTGACATTATATGTTTTATGTGTGATCTTGCTGGTGATGGGGGTATCAGAGGAGCCGGTTTAGGCTGGAGAGGAAGTGTTGTAGCATTTTTAAAATTAGTTTATGTCAGAAAAGAACTTAGGTAAAAAAGAAAAATGTACACAGACACAAGACAAAATACATCCATATATAAAGAAATAGAAAACTCTTAAGGTTAGACTCGGGTTGTGTAGCATCACGCCTGTGGCAAGTGGGAGTAGCACGTGAGACAGCATGTGTGTTGAAGACGTTCTCTTTGTAAAATCAATAAGGGGGTGATAAAAACACCAGAACCCAGAAGAAGTCATATAAGGCAGAAATGTGCCACTGCTCTGTGTATGAGGCATGTACACCTGGTGCAGTCGTCAGAATAGTCCTGCTAAACCTACTTTTGTCTGCTTTGGTACTATCTTTGAAATATACAGACTGTGTGTGTGTGTGTGTGTGTGTGTGTGTGTGTGTGTGTGTGTGTGTGTGTCATTCATGACAGGTCCAACCTCTGCAGTAATGTGTGTGTGTGCATATGTGTGTTGCCTGAGGCAGTTGCATAGGGTGAAGGGTTGAGTGAATGGGGAGCAAAGCCGCCTGACTGGTTTGCTTCATTAGGAAACAAAATATAAGCTTTCCGGGCCATTAGGACTGACTTTAGATGCAAAAGCACATAAGACGACGACTCACCTCATCAACGATGCATTGCAGTAACTGGAGAGGCTGGAAGAGGAGAGACACAGGGAGATTAAAAAACAACAAACAAGCGAGCCAACATGAAATTTCTTTGCAATAGGGAAAATTGAGTGGGATAAAAAAGTATCTACTTAGATTAATCGAATGCAGTGAGCTCAGGCAAAGCCATCCTTCACCTCCTGAATGTTTTTATTATTCCATAATGGCACCTAATGTAATACCAGCAGTTTAAGCATGAGCTAATATTTCATTGCAGAAATGCAATTTCAGTATTTATTTTTTTTTTTTCAAATGAAGGAGCCAACCAAGAGTAACTTACTATATAGTGTGGGAGAGCTGTATCCTCTTTCACTCTGTTTTAATGCAGTAAAACTTACCATTAAAGATCCTTGGTTTTTCTGAATCTGTAGGGCAACAAAGAAAAGAGGAGACAAGCCCATATGTAATTAGTGCGTCATAATCAAGATGATACACTTGGACACATTATGATCACTCGGAGAAAATTATGTTTTTTGTTAGCAATTTGTGAGTGTGCATTAAGATCATTTACATAATGAAAATACACACATTTTAACGACCCTGCTCTCATTTGTGGAAAATGGGCTAAAAGATCCACTAATGCTCATTTAGAGTGGTACTTTCCTGCCCTCCAGGTTATGCACAGAGATGTAGAATAACTGTTACAGAATAATATGTGCAAGGTTTGCTATGAGAACGCTTACTGTGTCTATTTCAAAGGTAAAACATTCACAATAAACACTGTAGGACATGGTAAAGTACCTACACACGTAGTGTATAATTCCTTATAAAGGCACAATTTTTGGTATATCTTGAGAAACAGTTGTAATTTCCGGTCAATATCAATTAAAACAGAAAAAGAGACGGAGGAACACAAGCTAGATGAGGAAGTTCTACTTAAGACACTGCCTCAGAGACAATATCTTCACACGGCGCTGCAGTGAAACTACAGAAATCATTTAGCTTTGGTTTCTAAAACCTCCAGGTCTGAATCCACCACAACATTTTAATTCTAGAGCAAAATGTATTAGTTCATCATACAGACTGAGTGAAATAAGGCCCGAAAACTAGGCTCAGCTAAACGACAAAGAATGTTTGGTGAATAAATAGCTCATTTCTCCGGGTCTTTTGACAGTGCATTAGAGCACTTATTGATTCACTCAATTAAATACAGGTTTTCACTCTCTGTAAATACCAAGAGACTCCTAAACTGCCTCTATATCCAGTTTTGCCTGATTCAGACACATTAAAGGCAACTATGGAAAACTAATTTGTTCAGAAATAATTACTAGGACAAGATTGCGTGCTGCTCCAGGGGTTGAAATTGGATAGTGGGAGACTAACGTATTCAAGCATAATTGAGCACTTATTCTTCTTATACTAGGTAGCTTGACCACATACCAAAAAGAGATGTTTAATAATCCCACTGCATCTTTTAACAGAGTCTCTCATCACTGTGGGCTGATTAGACATTTCATTATTGGTTAGTCCTGAGGGTAAACATTGTTTAATATGACATTTACACTTAAACAAGAATTTCTAATAAGGCGTTTTTTAAAAATGTTTTCTTCTGATACCTGATTTAGGAGGAACAAACGCACTGACGCACTGTTGACTGTGGAGGGTTTGTTTATATCTTTAAAGGACTGTGTATTTTATCATCAATAAACGAATGTAGTTGTGTCAATCTCTTCTTCCTCTTAACCTGTAAACAGCCACTCCAGCAGCTTTGTGTCAATTTCTGAGAAAAAGGAAGCTTTTTTTGTGATATGAAAATACCACAGCGAGTTCAGCATGAACATAAGAAGCAACGAAATCCATTTCTTATATGTCAAACAATTTCTTTCCTTTCTGGAGGAACTCAATAAACACTTATTAAAGATCCTCAAGGATTAAAAAAACTTCAAGGGTAAGAAATCTTTATAAAAAAAAAAAAGAAGCTTCTTTTCGATTTAAAAACCATCAGTTTCAACAAGCTTGTTTTGGTTATGAGAAAGGGCATTGTTACTCTGCCAGCGAGAACTTCATGAAGAGGGAAAGTGGGGAAGTTCTTCTCCATTTTCTTTTATTATTTCTTAGTTTAACAACAACTACTGGAATTCACTCTGTTAGCCTGAGATTTACTGCTCTGAAATCACAGGCAATTAAAAATGAACTAATGACAGGAGCACTTTTCTCATCTCCTCCAAACTGCAAATCTTTCATCATTAGCCAAAAACTTCAATACCAGACTAGATTCACCAAGTGGAACATTTAGACTGACATCACCTGTTTTATAAAGTCTACATTAAAACATATTTTATCTTAAAACTCACAGGTTGCACTGGAGAAAGCAGATGGTGAGCGTCGTGTAGAAACTGTGCATTGTTTAAATATGATCTGGTGACAACAATGCTTTCAGACATGCACTGAACTCTAAAGTGTTTGGAGAATATCTGAGTGAGCCCATGTGAGAATACAGCAGGAAAATGTCAGAAGAATTCACCGTGAGCGAGTGGGACAGATGCAAAACTGAAAGAAAAAAGGAATATGAATATCTCAAGATGAAAAGGAGGAGCCATACAAGTAGAAGACGCAGGTGAAGATGTCAACTTTTAAAGGCAAAAAGATTTAAGAGCTTTTAGCGAGGGCTGACGTAGATGTAGTTAAAACAAACATCGTGCCCAGCCTCCTGCTCTACCCAGATGCAACCCCTCAGCAGATATTGTCCTGTTGTATTGAACACGTCTGACCTGGACAATCTTCTACTGTGTGTTTAAAACACACATACTGTCCATACTATGGTTTAAGTTCCCTTCCCTTTTGAAACGCTGCTGCATCCATTACACATCACTGTGTATTACACTGTGTAATGGAAGCTCCTCAAACATGCTAAAAAAAAACTTAAATTGGTATTTCATCCAGAAATTCATTCAAATTTGAGGAAAATATGACAAAATGGAGAGAAAGAAAAACAACCACAGAGCAAACAAAAGGACAACAAATCAATCAGAAGCAATAGCGCTGGCGGCTGTATACACATCACATCAGGTCTGGTGTCTTCAAAGACTTTCAGAGCGAGCCGTGAAAAAACTCCATTAACTCCTGACAAAGAATACAAATGAATCCCGACATGTGGTGAAGTGGAATTAAAGAGACCATCTCTAATCATGACAAACATGAGGTGATGACTCCACTGTGTACACACACATACAAAAGAATGAATGAGAGATGATACATCAACCAATCCACAAATTAAAGGCATTGGCAAGCATCACACTTCCTCAGAATTTAAAGGGTGAAGAAAAGCCCCAAAGCAATGCTCAAACTGGCTTTTTCTAAAGTGCAGAAAATTCAAATTCAACAACTCTTCTGGTACCATTCATACATTAGAAACTCAGATGCCAGTGATTCTTTTCCACACTCTCGCTTTCAACAACTTCTCCCTCAGTCCTTACGAAAATGTTCTCTGTGAAGTGTAGCAGGGGGTTTTGCACAGACAGCTGTGCCAGCGTCTGCAAAAATGACAGCTAAGGCCCGAGGACTTTGGCTGGCTGCGCCTGACGAGCTGGATCCGAGCACTGTCGGCACACCACTCTGCTACAGCCTGCAGGTGAACTGTCTTGGGTACCATATGGAGTAAAGGGAAAATTAACACTGAGATGAGTAAAATTGTATGACAGTGGAGAGCTGAAACAAAAACTGGAGAGATTTTTCCAATTTTTTTGGCCACCTCCAATTTAAGTCAATGAGGGTAGATCGCCATTCATTTAAAAAGAGAATAAATGGGTAAATGAAGGCCTCAGGCTGAGAGCACACCTTCGGTCCCTCGCACAAATGTTTGTTTTTGCTTTTCATTGCAGCATAAGAATTATCAATCAATTAATCAACACATAACATAAGTGAAGAGCTCAATCACGACTGTAATCTGCTTGACAGATGGTTGTTTACCAAGGAAGTACGCAGCCAGGTGCTGAATCAATTCTGGTAAAAAGATTGGGTTTCTCTCACCACATGATAGAGCACTAATAGATCATGAAACTGAAATAAACATAAAAAAACCTACGGTGAGATATTAAAAGCCTCACATGACATCAAACTCCAACCTTTCGTAGATTGGTTTCCTCTTTACCAGGAAGAATAATTGGCTCACTGAAAATAGCAGTCACTGAGACAATACCTGAGCAAAGAGTGCAGTGGTTACATCGCACTCTTCTTCTGGAATCAACTACAATCAACTTTTACTTGACGGACGGAGCAGTTTAAGTGTTGCAGGAAAATTATCTGATGTGTCAACACACAAAACATCTAGAATGCTTGCTGATCAAACCAAACAATACATACAAGGCTGCATGCAGTATTTTACTACAGTAGTAGTGACAGCTCATTCAAACATTCATCATGTATTTATAATGCTAATTTTTCCTCTAGGATTTTTTCAGCAGCGGTGGCAAAAATTCTGCAGCATGAGGTTTTTGACATCTCGAAACTTTAAAAACAGCACCACAATGTATGTTGGCATCGACTTGGTACCGAAGTTTAGGTTCTCGTGACATCCCTCGTAGTTATTATCCATCTGTCGTTCATGTGCTTCAGAATAAAGTTAAAGTCACAACTTTTGCGTGACATGACGAAGGTTTTCAAAGTTTGATTTTAACACAATCACAACATAGTTTTGAGAATAAACTCTTTATGAGATCAAATCTTCCTCTTAACGTTTCGTGAAGGTGGGTGGCCAGAAGGTAACCTGAGGTAACCAGATCGGGATAGCTCAGCTAGGGATTGGGGAGATAAACCCATCTTAAAGGCCTAATTAAGAGTTGATGGGATTGGGAAGTCACTTCTGTGGTCGGCAATTACATTTGAGCAGGATTTTAACTTGTAATGGAGGGAAAAAATATAAACCCAAATCCAATTTAACATTTTAGGTTTTATATCCATGCTGAAGGATTTTGTACTTAATTTATGTTACTGAGTTATTTACTGACTGAATTCATTTAATATACAATGGAGCTGTGAAAATGATTTTGAGAACAAATCACACTAAGGGCCGTAAATTAGTGCCACCCATAATGGTGAGAGCAAAATGTCTAAATATTTCTGTTTAAAGTTTGGAATAATCAGAAAACTTCATGACAGGAATCATCATTTACTAGGGAAGATACATTTTTATTAAATCATAATACTACATTCTAAAATAAAAAAAATCAAACACTGGATAAATCACTGAGGACATTTTTCTTAAAGTAAATCCCTGCAAGAAGAATCAACACAGGCTCCTTCTTGAGTCTGGATACGTGGGAAGAGATTAATAAATGAAATGAACTCACCTGTGGATAGGGGAACATGCCTAGTGCCAACTGTGTGAAAGAAAAGAGTTAGAGTTACAAGTAACATACAATTCTTTTTGAGACATGAAAATACGATCAATCCCTGACAATGAAATGCAGACAAGAAACAATGGCCTCAGAGTTGACGCAACACTGTGGAATTTCATGTATAGCTACGGATTGGACTCCATTAGACTACACAGGTGCTCCAGATACAGAAACCACCCGGTGTATAGAATATGAGTACACTTGCTGGTTTCTTACTGTAGATGCAGCAGGAAAATGCTGCTAAAGCCACTGATGCGTGCAGAATTTGAGACTTTCAGTCTTTGAGGTAAGCTTAGTGCCCACCTGCTGATAACACTACCTCATCAAACAACATCAGCTATTAGTTAATAACCCCCCCACGGTCACCACCTGCAGAGAACAAAATAAAGGGATAAAGACAAGCAGGACAGGATTGTAGGATAGTTGTATGTAATGAGTGTGTGTCTGTTACTTTGGCTGAGGGGGGCTGGGCGACAGCTCTCCCTGACATTTGGTAATTCACTTGGGGTGGACATTTTTCATCTTGGTCAAGGGCAGCTTATTGGCAACATTAAGTTATTAAAACGTCAAAACGCTCACCATCCTTCCTTGAACATAAATAGGCCAACATGTAGGCTAAAGATCAATCCACATTGAGCGGGACTTCAAGACATTTCATTTAGCTTAATGCACACATTCACAGATAGAACTAAAGACAGCGGGGCCAGGGGGTCCACTCCTATAAAACTCCATCTTTATCACGCAGAGATTGTGTCAATAATTTTGACATGGCTCCTTTTGTGTGAACTCATCCATTATTGTTATAATTGTAATGATATAACATTATTGACAAACAAAGGCGAGGCAGAGGCCCAAATCATCTGTTATACTGCAGAGGGAGAGCTGTGGACAGGGACAGATGGAGAATCAATAGTGTCAGTGGGAAGACAAGAGACAAGGGAAGTGTAATACTGAAATTAAAATGTTATTCGAAAACGCAGGGTGTCAGTCAAGCATTCGATCAACACTATGGGGAGAGATGAACTGATACCGATTCACACATGGACACACATCAGCCACTCTGGAGACGTACAATGTAATCTACTGGATTTATTTAAACTGCCTGATACCAAACTGTGCAAAATAAAAAAATAAATTGCTTTTACTCGACTTTAGCCTCCTCTCCAAAAATGTGCCATTCGTACCTCCATGAACGAGATTCCCACACTCCACACATCTGCGTGAATACCATACTGTTCTCCTGATATCCTCTCGGGCTGTGGAGCAAAAAGGGAAAAAACATCAAAACTGGACATTCAGAGACTCAGACTCCTTTAATAACTAATTTCTTCTCTGGTAGAAATGTTTAAACTGTTTGGTATAAAACATAGATTAACTTACTGCCATGTATGCGTTAGTTCCCACATACGTCTTGGCGATAGAATTCACCAACTGTGAGAGGAATTGAAAAACGGAATAATTAGGCTGCATATTTATAGAAATTCTAAAATATTCAGGCAACCTTAAGCAAACATAACCCTTGTAAATAACTTTTAAGACTCATTACACTGCTCTGTGTTGGGGAACAAAAACATTTTGGAGGTAAACCTCACATTACCTAAATATATTGATATGTCAGGTTGATATTTTGGGCTGCTACCCCCCACACAAGGGAATAGGAGTAAGACAAGGAGACATTAGAGTGTGTGTGTGTGTGTGTGTGTGTGTGTGTGTGTGTGTGTGTGTGTGTGTGGCACACAATGGCACATGCCATCAATGACAGGACTGTGATAATGAGAGTCTGTTCCCTTATGGCTGTTTTTAAATGCCCTACAAAGTGTGAGAGAGGGAGGAAGAGTTAATGTTTGAAATAGAGATAAACAAAAACTGAGTTAAAAAAGCACACACAGGCACAGACACACACACACACAGACACACACATAGAGGGTGTAAAATTCACCTTGAAGCTTCCATGCAAGTAAAGGTAAAAAATGAATAACAATTTGCGTAAGGGGGGATGGTGGGTGGTGTGTGTGTGTTGAAAAGGAAGAGAGTCCTCAGGGTTGATGTTTTGGGGAACGCTGAAGGTCTGTCCCTGATGATTACATTACAAACACACACTGCTCCCTGACGCGCACACACACATACACACAATGACTAGGCTATTGTCTGCCAGCAACGCGGTGCCCACATCTACTGAATACATATCAATGAGGCTCTGCCGTTGTGTGTGTGCGGGTCATAATTATAGCAAGGGATTTTTTTGGAGGCTGCAGAACAATGGAGGTGGGTGGGGAGTTAATGTGATAGGAAGACCCCTGGGATAGAGCTCATGTTTAGAGTTGAAAATGAATGTGGTGATTGACAGATTGACCATATGCACACAGAGCTCCACACACGCCGCAAACGTCTGTGGAGAAGCATCTAGTGACAATGGTTTTTCTTCTCTCTTTCATATTCCATCCTTTCTCTCTTCTTTCTTTCAATGAAAGTCACACAAACAAATCAGTTTACCTGCGTGCTGACACCAAAGTCACAGAGCTTGACTTGTCCTCGGGTGTTCACCAGCATATTGGAAGGCTTGACATCTGCAGAGACAAACTGCTTGATAGAACTGCGACATCAGCACTCTGCAGCCTGTCTTTATCAACTCTGCTCTTTTTTTTTTTAAATAACAAGCCAACGTGCAACACCTTACTCACCCCTGTGAAGTATCTTCAGGCTCCACAGATACGTCAGGCCTTTGACTACCTAGAGACACAGATGACAAAAAATATATATTGCAGTAATTTCAACAACATTCAACCAGCACACTTGTATTAATTAATAAACTTGGCTAATGTGGCTGATTACCTCCACAGGTTTCTACTTCATAAGAAAGCTCAATTTTACTTTACATAAACAGCCTTGACATTTATTTAGAATTTATATAAATTAGATTTTAGTCTACTGTCATTTCATTCTGAAAATGTCAATTGGACTGCTTGCAACTATCAACATGGCTTTCATGCTCATGTCACTGAGGTAGTGAGGGGCACGGGGGTGTGGTTAGACACGATTCCTCCTATAAAGCTGAAATCTTTGGCAGTTTCCCCCGTGTGTTAAATGTTGTATTGTTTCCCTCAGACTGGCTGTCAGGACTAATGCTGCCCTTTTCATACATTAGGGCCAGTGCGTGATTCCAGACTGATTTGTCTTCTGGAGAGGAAATGTTCTGCAATTTTAAAACCTCACATTTAGAAGGAAACTGGGTCGATTTAGTTTTTTTTTTATGTAGACTTGCCGATAGTTGAGGTATCGTGGCTGCTCTGGTCTACACATGCTTTTTAGATGTGGACAAATGTGACTTCTGTTGACAGTGCTATAGAGTCAAAGTTGTTCTGGAGAATGAAGACACAGTCACACATATGCAAATGATTCAGTGGCGCTCCTTTGTCTCATGTTCACTTGTAATCTGTGTGAGCAACGGGAGGTAGAAAACATTTGCTTCCTGAGCAAATTGCAGCTCTGCTTCGCTTGTACTTCAGCTTTGGTGAACTTTAACCCGCATCACGTATGTGTGACTGGGCCCTCAGACTGATGGCTTCCATCAACAGTGGAAACTGCTTGTGCTTCTGCTCATGGTTTCATGGACAGGATATCAGGGGAAGGCCAAGGTCTAGAGAGTGTCTGTTCTGGTGAACATAGAGTTACATCTCTGCCATTTACGCAGAGACCGAGACCATGGATTCAACAGAGTTGACGAAGAGAACCTGCCCCAAGTGTTGGAATTCAGCTATCTAACATATTAAGTAATGTTGTGGCTATTTAAGAATGCTAACAAAGGATTGAAAACTTGACTACTTATGGAATTGTGGTGGGAATGACCTCAGCTATGGTAACAAGCTTTAGTAGATCAATGTTTTTGTCTTTCTACACGATCAACACAGCTTGATATGGAGAAATTCTCTTTTTCATTGAAAGAATTTCTACCAGTGAAGACGCCTTCTTGCTGCCTCGCCCTGGAAAAGTTAAGTGTGCAACTAACAGGGAGGAGACACCCGGTGGAAGACACATCAACAGAAACATTATTTTGGGTGGGAGACGAAGGAGACTTTTATCTTTGTGCAGATCTAAGTGTCCTGCTGGCTACGCTCAAATGACTCCACCCGCCTGGATGAATCACTGTATTTTTTGTCAACATTACTCATTTCCAAATTTTTTAAGCTGCTTTGTGTTGGTAATTTTTTCAAGGGATTTGAGAGCTGATTCTAGCCTCTTGTCTACTGTCAACCATCCCTGATGAAAACAACCTCTGAGATAAAATTAAGAAAACACAAAAGCTCTTTGAAGTCTTGCTGCCTCAAAAGGTGCGAGTGCAACAACTGATGTGTGCAGCTTCACTCACTCACCCTCTTGGGTGCCTATCCTTCTGTGATAATTAACAACTGTGACAGTGGAAAGGAGGGAAAGCTGTGAATTAAAAATAACACTGACTAAACAGCTGTCATTGCTTGATTACGGACAAAGTTAAAGGGGGTAGAAAGAGAAGAGGAGGTGAAGACAGGAGAAGGGTAATGAGTGTGGAAAAGAGACGTGCATTTATCAACTTCAAGGCCGTTCAAATCAAAATGCTAGTTTTAACTGAGTAGAAAAGGAGGGAGAGAGGAAGTGTGGGGAGGATGAGGGGAACACACTGACTTTGTCCATCATTTCATCCAGTAGAGGCTAATTGAAAATTTCACACTCTCTTCTTTTATGTCATAAAATGCCTCTGAATAGTTTTGTATTTGAAATATGAACAGGTCATAGTGAAAACTGGACCATCGAACTATAAAAATTAAAATATTTAAATAACTGTTTTTGTAAATATCAGAAGACCCTTTATAAAAAAACGTATTAACTCAGTCATCAAACCGCTAATCAGGAGTCTTAGTATTTGTTGAGAACTTACTGCCACTGCGATCCTCCCCAACACATGCTCTGGAATTCTTTTGTACACATCCAGAGAACCACCTGTAAAAGACGTATTGCTCATTAAGACGCTGATATGACATGACACAGTTTTGCACATTTTCTTATTAAACTTATTGTCAAACAGCCTTTTTGTCACAGCACAAACTTATGTTGGCAATGCAGGTTGTGACACTACACACATAAAACAGATCCAGCTGTATAGTAAGTCAACTAACATTTTCCACAATGCTTTTTAGCCCAGACTGGCTTGATGAAAAGAGGCATATTGGGGCAACTGAAAAGTGTGTACATTTTGGTGCAGATCAAAACAAAATCTGGCATTGAGTAATTTTAAATAAAGTTTCATAAAGTGATTGTTGGGCCTTGGGTCCTCTACTAAGTGCTCTTCTAGTTATAATTCTATTTGCTGATAATTTCATTGTATTTGTTTGTCATATCAGTAAAAGAAGAAATAAGACGTTGAATTAATGTATTTGTTTCTTTTTGCTGTCATTTCTTATAACCAAGCACAACTTAAAAAGTTCCGAGTGTGTGCTCAGAGGTTAGACAGACTTTGCTGACGAGCTGGCGCAAATGTGTGAAACAAGGGAATCGCTCCATTAACACACACTCGGACAAACACACACCTTAAAACATGAACAGTCCCCCATCTCTCACCAGTCTGTGCACACACATACAAACGCACCTACAAATGCACTTAAGTCAAGATTTATCACGCCCTTGTAGCTTTTAGCACACAGCCATGCTAAGCAGCTCAGAGAGATAAGATGTTCTCTTGATCTGCAGAAGTGTAAATGGATGCACAGCAGAGAGACCGAGACAGAGGACCGTTCCCAAAAGTCTCTTCTACACAGCTGTGGCTAGCTAAGAAAAAACAAAGGGCATACGATCTACTGGCTTAAGCTACAAAGAAACTTACCATCCATAAATTCGGTGCATATGGATATCCTGTTCTCAACAAAAAAGGCACTGAAGAAAGTGATGATGTAAGGTGAATCACACTGCAGTCAAGAGAAGAGACAATTTGATAATTAAAGCGTATTCAAAAGATATTTATCCATGAAACAAAATAATTGGTTTATAAATCATCCTCTTTGTGAATTTGAGCAAGATGCAACAGAAGCAATGGTTTGTAAACATTTAAGTTATACGTTTCTCACAATCTTATTTAAATGCTATTGTTATTTAAATGTTTTAAATGCTCAAAAGCTTCATTCTATATTCATTTAGATGTTCTCTCAAAATAACTGCCTGGTTGCTTCACCAAGATGGCTGCCAAGCAGGGTGAACTCATTCAGTTTAAGTGAGTCTCCATGCTCACAGCATTTGGGTCTGTATGTCTTAATGTAGATATAGACAATGTGTTTTTGGCCTGTCCCTGATAAAAGATAACTCACGTCAAAGACATATGGCGATGTCTTTAATAATGGCTCTTACATCGCAGTGTCAAAATGGTTCAAGGATAACACGTGTCACAATCTTGCCACAGTATCACGAAATTTGACAATCTCACAATGGGCCTGGTGATATGAAAACCTTTGTCTGCTAACCAACTCATACAGTATGAAAGGATGGACTAACAAACCAGGGCATCAAATGTAAATGTAATAGATGTAAAATAAGAGCCAAAATGTCAAATTCTTTTTTAGCTGCTCTTATAACTACATGCTAGTTAAGTGTGACGTCGCACATGACGTAATATCCAGATCAGCGTCCAAAGCTTTGAGGCACAAGCAAACAACGATGAACCAGTGAATTTATTCACCATCGCGACTTTTATAGGGACGCATCAATAAGGGTAGCCGAGCAGCAACACTGAACTCATCTCACTTAATCAGCTTAATTTGTCTTCAACAGATATTACTTCTGTGCTAAGTCTAGCTAGCTTACGACTCCGTAGTTTCTACTAAAGGTATTTCTGCTACTAAAAGTTTCTTTAGTTTAATTTCTTTAAACATCAAACTTGATGTCACACCCATGTTTATTAAATTCATGTCATACCAGAGTGGCTTGTAACTTATATTTATCCAATTACTGAAATCTCACTGTCTGTGTAGGTGCCTCAGAAAAACTCATCCACAGAAGGTGAGAAATTCCCAGAAGGTCTTGAGTAACCTCACATGCATGGTCCGTGTGTATGCTGCCTGTGTGTCCATGTATCCCTGATCCCTGGCTTACACTGTAAGTACTTCATTAGCTCGACTCATGGTTAATTAACAACGTAGATGTGGTCTGAAAGCAACATTCAGTGGAGAGAGGAGACATTGTTTTGTTTGATAAGGAGGAGATAGATCAAAACAAACCTTGTAGAGAATTTCTAATTCCGACATGATCTGCTTCTGCAATTCCACTGTAATATCCAGTGGGATGACCTGTAGTTCAACATTGAGAAGTAAATGTGTAACTTTCAATAAACAACACACAACACATTATGCTGATGTTTCAATTGTAATTACAAGGAGGGAGTTCTCACCTTGACAGCTAACACCCGTTTGCCGTGAACATGGTACGCTCTGAAGAGGATAAAGAGATAATATGAGACAAGCCTACAGAAGGGATTTGTTTGAGTTTATAAAAGTGGTACCCTGTGTTTTATGTTTTGATTTTCAGACTTCAGTCTCTGATTATAACAAAATATTTTTTTAATGTTTTCAGCATTTCAGATGAGTAGATTCTCATACATCACGCAAAATCATCAGGGAGGCTTCTAATCTACCCCACATTCATTCTGCAGCAAGACAACAACCTCAAACATAACATTACAGTCACAGTCATGAAACAGCATCTTCAGCCACAGGAAGAACGAGGAGTCCTGCAGCAGATGGTGTGGCCCCCACAGAGCCCTGGGGTCAACATCATGTAGTCGGTGTGAAATCAAATCAAGACACTGAGATTAAATCAAGAGAAGAAGTGGGGAAAGTTCTCCAAAATGTTTGAAACCAAGTACCTTGAAAACTGGTCAAAACTAATATTGGTAACTGATTAAAGAAACTATTCATTGTATTATAAATGAAAACATTTCAACTTAAGTTTAAGAATCTACAACTTCTGCCCAGTGCAGCACATTTCCCCCATCAGAATACAACCCTACCAATTAAACTGCTCTGGATTCGCCCTCAAAGATGTAACGCCACTGCGCTGACGTTGTTCTTAAATTGAAATCAGAGCAACACTAAACTTGCATTTTCAAACACAGTGCATCAAAGTTTGTTTCTCCAGACTGTGAACATCTGCTCAGTCGAAGTTGAACAAAAGTTACAATGAAATCTAAATCTGTCAGAGCCGGCAGAGGATTGTCAATTCAAATGCCAATAAAAGTGTCAGACAGTCCATGACCTATGGGTTGAATTGCAACCGTACTTTTGGAATATAAAACAAAAATGGAACCAAATCAAGTTCTGTATTAGTTGAAAATATCAAGTGATAGGTAATAATGAAAGGACATAAAAGCAGTAGAAACTCAACAGGTCTGTGAAAAAGACTATAGCGTAGGTCAGTGTCCAAAACCAGATCCAGCCATCCCTGTCAGTTGTTCCAGACAGAGTTTTGAATTGCAAGTCAAGAAGGAGCCACAGACCGTCCCTGTAATGATTTAATTATCAAACTCCTTAATGCCAAACGTCGGCTTTAGTTACAGCCCGTGAAGGTTAGTTTACGCCACCAGTGACAATACCTCGGGACCTTTCAACATACAATCCTCAAGGACAAATACTGTCCAACAGCTGTCAGGTGATGGGGATGAGATGGGAGCAGTGTACGTCACACAGGAGGGTTAGCTTGCAGGCAGGCTTAGTAAACGTGATACCTGGCGACTCACCTGTCAGTGGGTCTTGCAGAGAAAATGTGTATGGTGCAAGATGTGATTAATGTATCTTAGATTAGAAGTATCGCATTGCTCTTCGGCCAGACACCTCTAAACTGGCCCAGGCCTTTAATTAATGACACCTATTAGTGCCATGTCAGGTATTACCCACAGTAAGAACAAGCACTGGTCACTGACCGCCATTCTACATGGGATGTAGTTTACACACACTAACTACAGACTTATTGAGATTTTTAAAGAAAAAAAACAACAACTTATGGACATTAACATTTCAACTTGTTTTAATTTAAAGTTTTAATTTTACACGTGGTAGCTCCACAATTTTTGAAATAGAAGAGATCTCTGTTTCTATAAGGTGTCAAAGTTCAGTTGGTTTCACGCCACACAAAAAGGAAAAAGTTTGTTAGTTCTAAGTTATTAGAAAAATAAATCAAGTTTCTTTTGTTATTTCTTTTTGCCCAAAGAGTGTTTCTGATCTTTTTTGAAGGCTCTTTGCACTTTAAGGCTGATGGCCTCGTTTCTATTCTGATGTCTCAGTCTTCCTTTGAGCTACAATCGATATCAGTTAAGCATGACTGCCGCCACTTAATTAAGATGAAGATGCTAATTGAGGCACGATCACGGGAGTAGACATGTTAACTACTGAAAGGGCAGGTTGTGTGTGTGTAAGGAAGCCAAAAAGAGACTACACCAAGTCTTCACCACAAAAAACAGAATATGTTCAAGGATATGTCCAGACTGTGACTGTATTTACAGAACTATAACTTAAACAAGAGATGCACCTTTGTGAGTTATATAACTTTTAAGTAAGATAACTATTAAGTGCAAAGGTTTCATCCACAAGTCACAAGTCGCTGCTTGATTTCAGATTTTGTGTATAAACAATATAAAGCTCTCAGTTTATTTATTTTTTAGGTTTACACAAATGTGTTTTAAGGTCAGGCATGTTTCAAATCTGGAGATATAATGTGAAGACTCCTTGGTTAAAGCTCTATTCCCAGACTGTCCTTGACCAAGTCAGGGCAGAGCATCCCTGTATGAGTTACAGTGACAGGCTTGTGACAGCGGGAGACATGGGGACAAGGTTACATAGCCTACCCCCCGCCACTTCCCCCTGATCTGACCCCAGTAAATGTGCCCCATTGCCTGGATCTTATTTACACTCCAGCTCGCTCTGTAATAAAAGCTCCATCATGCAGTATTCATAGGGCCTCTCTTGATGTCTCTGAAGTAGGAGCTGTGGGTTAGAGAGACTGGCCTCCTGGATCAGGGCTAACGCGGTACGTTTACAATGGCACATGGACGATGCTGCTGCTTCTCTCTCCCAACAGTTATGATTGGTCCCAGAATTTCCAGACATTCACAGACCGACATGAATGTGCACGAAAAATACAGCTAAATATGCCGCACAGTAAAAGCAGCAAGGTTCACAGTCTCAAATAACAAGGTTAAAAGTTTCCTTATTTTTATATTCTACCAGACAAAAATGACAACACAACCATTGGTTTGTTGTGGTCGTCTTCTTTACGTGAAGACAAACAGCAGATGGTTGTTTTACTATGTGATGATGTAGAGGCCAGAAGCCATGTTACATTATATTTCCTTTCATAAAGAAAAATATAATTGTTTATTTGTATTCTGTGAGAGTGTTCTATCCCATTCATTTTAGCACCAGTTCCACACAGACACGTGTGGAACATTTGATAATAATTTACCTCGAGGCTGTTATTTACTAAATGTTGAATTTTAAAGATTTTGAAATGGATTTTTAGTCCTTTCTTCAACCAGGTTTCAGATTTGGTTTCCTCAGGCTTATAACCATATGATAATTTAGCCCAGTTGAGAAGACTAAAACAAAACAAGCATTTCAATCATTCAAGTTTATTTTGCGAAAATAAATGCCAAAGAAAAATATTTCTTAGCGTTCAAGTTGCGAGTTAAAGTGTTGTCTTATAGGAAAAATGGTTTCAGTTAAAGTACTTATATTTAACATTGTCTTCAGCATGACTTTCCTGTATCAGGACACCTCATCATTTATTATTGCTAATTTAACAGAAGCGTTGACTGCCAGTCTTAATAAAACTCAGCACTTACTGAAAAAGATATTTGATACTAAGTAACCAGCAATTAACCAAAGGGGTTTAGCCCTTCAATATACAGTCTAATCAATGAGCTAAAACAAACAGAATCAATGGAGAAAATGGGCTGAGAGACTGAAGGAACAGCTCTGGGTTTCAAAGTAGATGTCACCACAGTCACAGTCAGGCCAATGTGCTTGTTTTAATTGCGCTGCTGGATCCATGAGTCACAAATATAGCCTTTGTGTCCTTGTTATTGTATTTATAAGCCATAGAGTCGGTTAGATTGGTGGACAAGATGGACCTCTGAGAGAGTGTGTAATAAAAAACAAAGGCCGACAGTGATGGATGGCTAGGTCAGCGTGTGGCTATAGAGAGCTGAGGTGTTGGTAACATCCAATTGAGTCTAAATGGCTCTGGGTCATAAATGGGCTAAGAGGTTAAAAGGTGGGGAGCCTTTGGTAGTGCTTTCAAACGTGATAAGCCTAATATAAGCTGGACCAAAGGGTAGAGGCTGAAGAGGATAGAGAATTGATTTCTAAGCAAGCAAGAAACCTCTTGGCGCGTAGTGCAAAGGCATACAGTATTTTATTTATTTTTTAACAATGGCCAATTTCCTGCAAAATACCGAAATTTTTGTATGGTATGGCTGGTCTTCATAATAAATAAACCTAAGTAGTCATTTTTAATGTTGCACGAGTACAGTAACAAACACAGTGTGAAGTTTGGCTAATTTATCGTGAACATATGAAAACAGCTCACATCCTGTCTGACCGTCCTGCCCTATGAGACGTTCCTTTGTGATGCAGCCTTGATCAAACATCTCAATGTAAAAGAACCAATGATCAGCCATACATCACTACAGCAATGTTAGATGGATGACATGACTGCTCCCTAAAAGCTTCTCGGTAGTTGCAGCATAGGTCATAAACCCCACCTCCGACAGGTTAGCAGAGAGACTAAAAACGTCAAAATAAAAGTCAAATAAACTGGCTTCTGTCATTTTAGTTAGTTCCCATTATACTGGTGTATGTTCAAGTATTTATATTGTAATTTGATGCTGTAAAAACAAATGAAACATCATGACTGACAGCTGCGACTGACACGACATTGGTCAAGTACGCGTATTGGTGGGAACGTACACCAGATCTTTATATGGAGTCTATGCCATATAGCTATAATTCATAGATATAATGCCCTTTTCTTTTTATTTGTGTATAGAAAAAAATACTTAAATCTCCACATGTCATCCATTTATGCATCTGACTGGATATTGTTAGTTTCCTGTGCAGTCACTTAAATAAATCCCACAATAATAAAGCTTTTGTGAAGCAAGACTGGTTAATTCTTTTGATGCTCTTAATTGCTGTGGCACAGTTTTTGTCCTAAAATATGTCAATTTACTTTTGGCATGAAAAAAGAAGCGTTTGAAGAGAGGCAGATGCGAATTGTAATAAGTTAACTAGAATTGTTAAAAGTGAAAAATCCATTCAAACCGAACACAACTCAACACAGAGGTCAGCGAGTCACCATTCTTTAACTAGCTGACTAACAACCTGTCAATAACATATCAAAGGCGATGTCAAGGGAAGAGCTATATTCAATTTTTGGAACTTCTCCTGACTGTGACAAAATAATTAAAATGAAAGAAACAGGGAAGCAATTAACAGTTACTGATGAAAATTTCTTGGAGCTGATGTCAAGGGCACCCACACAATTAACACCAATTTTGTTATATATTCACAATTTAGAAGTTCTTCTACCTTTCACAAGCAGTCTAGTTTAAAAGAGGCCTTAAACACAAGCTTCTACCGTGTCTTTTCTTTTTTATTAGGTGGCGTCGGAGGCAAAAGCCCAGTTGTCAGCGGTGGAACTGAGATCAAAAGTTCATCGTAGTCTCAGAGAAAATGTCCTTATTTACTCAAACTCATCCTTTTAATTTTTTTGTCAGTTCTGAACAAACCTGATGTGTATTTATCTAAAACAGCAGAAAATTACAGCAAATTGCTTTTAAATAAGATTGATTTTAGGATAGAAGACAAGAAAACAAATATCAAAATGAGATAAAAAACAAAGGTTTGCAAAGCAGCTGTCAATTAAACATTCAGACCTGAGGTCTGGAAAGATGCAACAATATTAAAGAATCCAAGACTATCTAGCATCTGCTAAATGAGTCCCTCATTGCTGAACTCTATGCTTGATAACAAGAAAACCTCAATTCTATTAGCTTTCCATTTAGATTAGAAGAATAAACAATTTATTTTAACTAAAAATTACTTTCCGCTTTTGTCCATATTGAATATATCATTTAAGTATTTACTGTGTAGATGGGAAGAAGTAAGAGAGCCCCTTTCCAAATGACATGGTCAAATTTTCCTTCTAAGCCAAGTGAAAAACATTTTGTTAGAGGTTTTATTTACAAATTAAAAATGTGCATTAAAAACTGCTGGGTGGAAACAAGTCTTATGGTCTATCAACAGCACAGTTTTTAGTACATCTTGTCACGTTTGGTGTGAATACACAGCTTAGAATTAGTGTTCAATGGCTTCATATTCAAGCTGTTGAAAATAACTTTTGGCTCTTGTGCTTAACCTCATTTTTCAAACCAGGTACGAAAGTTTTTTTTATTTGAATTTAAGTCAACATAAGATATCTGTAAATTAATATGAGATGAAATAAAACAACCTACAACACAGGTTTATTTTTTGCAACTGTATTATTTTTTTCTCATTTCAACCATGAAAATGTCAGTACCAAAGCATATGGATTTTTTTTGCTTGGCTAAATTGACAGAAAAAATGTTGGGCTTGCAATATTGGCCTCCCTCAGTGCAGTGCAACCGTTTCTAGTGCCAAACTGATCAGCATCCTGCTACAACTATGAGAGATTGGCTTTTAATGAAACTATCTCAAAGTCAGACAACAATAAAAAGGTGGTTGGAACGAGAGGGATGAAAATAAAAAAATATATAGTCTTGTGGATTTGCTGAGGAGGAAATTTACTGTGTTTCTTCGGGACCGTGTGAGGCAGACCACTGTCAAGTCAAGGTTAGTCTGAGCAGTGATCAATACTTCAATCTCAATAAAAGGGCTCAATAGCTGAGGATTGATGGAAAGCTGGAAACACAGGGTGCGGAGAAGAAAGATAAAAGAAGCAACACAAAATGCCAGTCTTGTCATCACGTTAGCGGGGCAGTCATACATTTGTCTGGTCAGAGAGGCAGGCAAAGTGCTGCGCTATAGACCGATTAAGTCAACTGCTGTCATACCTTACAGCCTAAAATCAATATCATATATGTTTGCAACCTTCAAACCAGAATAAATAAATGAGGGTAGAGACACAAACCAGCCTAATAGATGTCCCAACAAACACTGAGAGATAAATGGACAGATGACGAAACAGAGAGATAGAGTGGAAGAGGAGAGAATCCTTCACTCAAGTCTATTGTAGAGTGATTGCAGTTATACCCGCGGGTCTGTGGTGGGAAGGGTGGTAAAAAGGAACATTTCTGATTAATAGCGGATGGGTTCGGGTGGGTTAAATACGCATCACACATCATTATGTGTAAAATATTAATTACTTTTTCTGAAATGTTACAGACAAAGAAAGAGAATCTTGTGCATCCTTGCAACAAGCGCTGCGAGTGCTCATTCAGCGCTGCCGGGCCGCATCGCTGAAGCCAGACAGAGTCTAACTCTTTGTGCAGATTGCAATTACTGGTCAATGAAAACATGGGCTCCTATTTTTTTTTCTGCGCCACGGTGCTCCGTGCAAAGTGCAGTTAATTGTCCAGTGTGTGTGTCTGTGGTCATTTGGTTTTCTGGCACCTGGCGCATCTGAAAACCGGGAGACTTTGAGATGAACTGGGTGTGTTAGGGGCTGGAAAACCAGACATGGTTTTATCACTATTATCCTTCTAAAAGATTGCGCACAGTCAAGCTCTTTATAAGTCGTCACCACGAGTTAAGTACATGTGAATTTGATTCTAACCAGCCTTCTTAAGTGTAATATGTTGACAAATTGTCACCAGTAGAGTGGAATGAGTCTCTATTTAAAGAAAATAATTCCGTCGGGTGGGTGATGGTTGGACAATTCAAGCATTCATGCGCATTCGGAGGGCATCAAGGCGATCCAGCATATCTAATGTGTTTTGTTTTCTCATAAAACTGAGCAGAATAAATATAAAAAGTCACATTCATTGGTCTAAAACTGGACACTGACTGAGACTTTGCTTCCAGATACACTTACTTGTAAACTGTGCCTCCATTTCCATGGCCCAGCTGCTCTTGATAGTTGATATCTTGAGCATTTATCTGCAGAGCAACAAACACACACACACACACACACATACAATAATGTTTCTTAGATGTTATAACATGAAGACACGTAACCAGTGGATGTGTAACTACACAAAGAGAGAGAGTGAAACAGAGAGGGGGGACTACACTGTCACTGGAGGCTATAAACAAGACAAGCATTCAGGTCACTCCAAGTTCAGCAACATATGGAGAGAAAACACAGGGACAGCGGGAGGAGAAGAGGAGATCAATACAACATTTGCTGTCCACTTTATAAAAGGACATTGTGCTTGGGGGAGTGGGGGGAGTGACTGATGTGGAGTTGATGACGATTTGTTTGCTGTCGTCATTCCACGTCATTCTTTGATAAAAAGTGTCAGGAGAAGGAGATATAATGCCGCCTGAGCTAACATGACTGATGGAGCTAAAGTTCCTCCTCTTTTGAAATTAACAGTCACAATGTTCCTGAGCACTGAAATAATTTTGTAGTTATGATACTTTCAACCTTAACTTTATTGTCACTGAGGGGAAATTTGTTTTGCAGCTAACCCTAACCCTAATAAAACCAAAAATAAGCCCCTCATCATTCATCAAGAGTGAACAGGAAATATCTAATCAACTAGGTCATCATTACACTATAATAGTTTGATGGCTCGAGTTACAAAATATTTTTTCAACCATTTGGACTTAGACCTTGGTAATCTGTAATCTGAGGGCTCTCTTACCAAAGGTGAGAGACAGGTCAGGTAACTTAACGCCAATGATCTTACAGGCAACCTGAATGATGTGTTGCGAATTATTCTTGTCCCTGATATGAGATTACCAAACCAGATGATAAAGCCAAAGGTAAGGACAGACTTACCGCACACACCAAACCCACTGAGCTTCCAGAGGAAGTGAAGACGTTGCTGTGCTTTTTTTGACAGAGCACTTCTGCATTTTCGTTGAACATTAAGTTTGCAAGAACTCAAAGAATATAAAGAATAAATAACATATTATTTTATTTTATTTTATAACTAAACTGTTCAGTTATTGTACATTTGTTCCCTGAATATATTTCCAAAATAATTATGCTGTGTTGGTCCTCGTCCGATGTTTAAAATTAGAATTTTCGAAGGTAATCGTGAAAAACATTAACAAGCGAATAAGTGTATCTAAATATATATAATATTTTATATATCCTTTCATTTAGCATTAAAACTATGGCCTAAAAAATCTTTAGATTAAATATATATGGAATATAGATAACATTTTAAAGAAAAAATATAGTTTTTAGCATCTTAAATTGCCAGAGTTTACTCTGTCCATTGAGAAGTTATTTACCAGCTCAATTAACGCTGCATTGGAGCCCTGTATTCAAAATGGGTGAGGACCAATTGTGTGTTACACTCACCAAGGTTGCAGGTGCCCTGTCAGTGAACCAGCCTGTGTGAACAGATACCTATTTGTACTCATATGATGCCAGTGTGGGACTGCTCAATATTTTTTTATAGAGAGAAGGAGACAGACTTCACAACATACATGTCAGAATGCACACACACAACAAAAACACACATTCCCTTCCCAGTTCACCTCAACTGATTTGATAACATGGTGAGAGGACAGAGGTGAAGAGAATGAGAAGAGATGGATGAGGGGATGGAGGAGAAGGGAGAGAACAGCTCTATTAGTTCACTGTGTTACAGCTGAAACCTGAGAGGCCAAGGGCTTAATTGTCTCCTTGACATGCTAGCTACTGTGCGTGAGTGTGTGTGTGTGTGTGTGTGTGTGTAGGAGAGAGTGAGAGAGAGTGTGTTTTTGTAAGAGAGAGAGGCAAATGACTGTAGTAGATGTGATCCTTACAACCCACAGACCCTGTGCTCCCAGTGTGCCACAATAATCAGACATACACTGTATTACATGCAATGAGAGTGTACTCTGGTCAGTGGAAATTAGGTGTACGATATAAAGAGATTTCAAATTCTTCTTAAAACAAAAGACAGCCTCACCTGCCCATTTGTCAAGATCCTCTTCAGCTCAGCAGATGATTTTTTTAAGCTGCAGGATGGAATACAGCACAGTGTCACTGACATTAGTTTCACATATATCTATCTACTTATTTTAGTTTATTACAGAGAGTAGCATGCTCCTCATGCCCCAGCAAGCTCACCTGTTGTTAGCCATGGAGTCTGGGACTGCATGAGTGCAGTCATTGGCTGGGTTCGGTCTTGTATTAACCTGAGGACAATCAAACACAGACATAAACGTGAAAAGGACACACACACACACACACACAGACAGAGACACACACACACACAGACACACAGACACACACTTGGTGGTCAAGGCCAAAAGACAGACAAGCAGACAGACAGACATATGGCCAGACCTCCTGATGAACAAGAACAAAACACAGGCTCTCGGTTCAGCCGGGAGCTTAATTGGCTTTCGTGTAGAGAGAATGGAGGCATGCAAAGAAGAAAGAAAGGGGCAACCGCATAGAGGAGGGGAAGGCATGACAGACAGCAGAGAGGAGAGGAGAGAGAAGACATTACAGGGGAGTGATACAGGCAAAACAATTTTGCAAAGGCAGGAGAAAAAATAAAGTTAGTGAATTAAAAATGTAACATCTCACTGGGGACATGTCTTTACATTGATTCATCTGCATCTATGTTTACTCCAAAGACTCCTGCTCATCCCAGATATCGAACACAAAAGGAGAGATAGGCCCCTGTATAGGCAATACTAAAAATAACTCATTTAATTGAGGTCAAAAGGCCGCTGTGCTGGGTCTGCTAAAGCACAGGGATTCTCTCTTTAATTAGTGCCCAGGAAGACCTAATTTAAACAGTGCACAAGACTCTCCTTAGCCAATTACTTTTATATTAAAACGGGAGAGAAGAGGGGAAAGATTACCAAGTGACTAAAGGTTTTAGGGAAATATCATCTCCTCAAAACAGACCCTTGACCTTATAAAAAAGAAGAAAAAACACTGACACAGATGAGTAGTTGTTACCAAAGCTCCTCAGAGGATACATTAAATAAAGCACTTTCAGTATTGGGGCTCGGGTGGGGTAATTTTATTACCGAAATGGAGATGGATATAATATGGATCATCTGGAGAGACAGAGGAGGTGTCAAGTCATTTAACCCATGGTAATTAGTAATGAGTTTCAATAGCAACATATGCCCAACATAAAAAGGGAAGGTCTGTGGAGGGCCATTTGTAAATGGGAGAGGGGGCTTGTAATGACAATTTCATGGTTGAACGATGACATCTTCTTACTGCCCGACTTAGGTTCTGCTCTAACCAAAGCTGATGTTCTTCCTTTTATATGGAATGAGAGGATCATAATACTCTGGAGGGGAATTGGGGTTTCAGAATATCACCTTGCTCTTAAATGACTGTCCCAGTGTTTAAAAAAAAACAAAAAAACAAATACATGGAGACAGACGCAGAGAGTCATGAGTTCTCCCTCAGCCACGGCCAGCTATCGCCATACATGAACATAGAGGAGGGGAGCAAGAGAATGAGTGAAAGAAAAGGAGAGCCTTGACTTCAATTGACATTTCAATAAGTGGAACACAGCATTACCAATCCATTTGCCTCAACTTCCCTCCTCCCCTTCCCTTGTTCTCCGTGTAAGGCAGCTGAAACAATTATTGAGATACGTACCTTCAGGCCATGTATGTTCCGGATCCCTGGAGTCTTGCCGGCTGAAACAGTAATTGACTAGATTGTAGAACACATCACTGGACCATTTACAAATGTGCTGAAAAGGAATCAGTTCTTTATAAAGAAAAAAAAAAAGATGAAATGAAATGAGGGTTACTCTGAAATTAAGTGTAGACGAGAGTGATTGAAATGTTGGGCTCTTGAGACAGCTGCTGGTAGGTGGGGAAGGAAAAACAGAATCACAGAGTTAGGGAGACGAGAAAGAGATAGAGAGACAGAGGGAAGGAAAGAGCAGCCAGATATTGAGTGAAACAGATAGAGACGATAAAATGTTTTATCGCTTTGCCCTTGGGGCCTGTTAGTGATTATGTATGACTGGTGAGAAAACTATATGAATATACAGATGTATGCATTGAAATTTCCCTCATAGTGAAAACCAGGTCAGGAAGAAAACACAAATGCCAGAAATGTGGGCACGGCTTGGTCTGAACAAGAGCTTGCAGTTTCAATGTCCTTGGAGCAAAAGAAATGACAGTCAACACAATAACAGAATGAGCCACTGAATTTTAATGTTGTCCAGAGGCTGCATTGTTATTTCTAGCAACCAAATGCTCCCTATTTCTTATTGTTTGAAAAACAGCTCAAGTGATTTAGCCTAATTTCAGTGAAACGGTTTCTGACAGGGGAAATCTGAATATTTTTATATATTCTACTTGTGATTAATTGTAAACAAATTAATTGCAGACATGCATTGAGCCTTTCAGCATTTCCAGTCCATGATAAACTGAAACATGTCACCGCTTACCTCTTGGAAAAATCTGGAGAGGGTCCGGCAGCAGTCCATTCATGCGTTGTTCGTTCATTGTGTTTAAGTACTAAAGGGGAAAAGAAAGTCATATGGTGTAAATACAAAATAGCTTGAAGTGATTATACTCAAATTCAAATAAAGATTGACCTAAAATCAGAATAAAAAATACACAATCAAATAAACAACATGAAGCAGATGAAACAAAGCTTTTGTTATTTTGCAATTTGACCGTGTCCTGCACTCCCGCACACAACACGCATATTTAAATGACGTCAGAATTTATCCACTGTTCCCAAAAACGTGGGCATGCTGCGCTGAAATCTGTTGCCGATGAGGACCAATGCCCTGTGGGCTTGTTCAGAAGGAGTGTAGCATTAACCCTTCTCTCCTGCAGGTCAACAGCTCACCAAACACTCACATCCTACAGGACTAACACGTGCACACACACTCTGGAGCCTCTCAGACGCTTGCCAAGGCAATGCAATAATTGATGTTTCAGTTAACCAAACCATCTGTTAAACTGAGAGCGCGCGTGTGTGTGTGTTTTGCTTGTGCAGCCCTTTTTTTGAAGCATCAAGATCAAGACCTTACTAAGATACAGTTAGACACTAAAGGAGTCTTTATGTAGTCCACACTTACATGTTTTCATTGTGTTTCGATTACAATCCAGTATGAACTACTAAGTCATCATGGTGTAATGCAAATTTGCTCTCTCATGGTGTTGTGTGGGGGTGTGTGTGTGTGTGTGTGGGGGGGGACGCGTGATGGGCCAGCTTGGATGGGAACGGATCAGAATGGCTACCCAAGTGGCACAGCTGTTATTAAAAGGCCTATTTATCACTGTCAGATCCCTCCTCGCTCCTAGCCCTCTGCTTTCGCCCTCCAGCGTTCTCACTAGGCCACATCTGAACAATGGGCCCGATACCAAAAAACGTGTTGTTTGTGTTTGGAGGGAGGGGGGGGGCCTTCACGTACCTTTAATTTTCCGCTCAGCTAGCTTATTGATTATGGCTGCAATTACCACCTAATCTGTAGTAGTTGTGTTATTAAAAGACATTCTCCATTGTTGGCCAATAACTAAACAGCGTCTGATCCCAAATACCATCGCTCAGCCGTAAGGGACAAGTGGGAGAGCGAAAGCAGAGAGCGGGCCTCATCATCATTAGCAGACTAAGGGGAAAATGGGAGTAAGAGCCACTACCTCCAGGAGGAGCTGAGCGAGGGGCGGATGAGGTCACGTGTTTTTTTAGCAGCTGACACAGGCCAGTCTTTAACTTTGAACAGTGGCGTCTGTCTTTCAAGGTGTCGAACAATGATTAGAGATGCCTTGAAGACCAGTGGGTCTCACAGGAGCATGTAGCAATCAATGTTCTCAGTGAGGGGGCATACTTTCCACAATAAATGTCCTCTGCAGACTGATGGTAATTAAGTGCTGAATTTGAGCATTAATTTTGCTCTGCAATGAGGAGCATGAATTTTCACTAAAGGCAATGTTAAGCAAGGGTGTTGAATAATAATTCAATAATAAAAAACAGTGTAGAGAGAGCACATTTAAAAGTCTGGTTATATCTAATATTTTAACCAGTTATCACACGTACAAAAACATTTACAAACACACGTTGGCACATAACCATCATGGCCGGCTAATGAAATATCCCACCTTTCACCTAACATGTGGGTTTCCCCTAATTCCTATTAATTTCACATAATGGCTGTCTGCTCACCTGGAATTAATAACACCAAGGCAAAAATCCACCAGGGTCTCTACGGAGGCCAAATGGCAAACGCAGCACACAACCACAAATAGGAAAAAAGATCCTCAGTAAATGACTGCTGAAATGCATAATGCTTACATAAAACATTTAAAATATGTGTCGTGTAAATTATATTTTTGTGAGCCCAGTATTTTCTAGGTGATCAGCAGTTTTCTGTACACTTGGTTGTCCCGTGAGAAGTTAAAAAAAAAAAAAAAAAAAACATTACGGGTCTCCTGGATTTTTTGGAGACAGACTTGAAATCTGTGGACGAAGCAGTGCAGTGTTGTGGATGCTAAATACCTGTGCTGGGTGGAGTTGGTTCAAGGTAATTCATTATTATGTTGCTAAAACATGTCACATCATCTGTATAAAGAATGCAGTAGCATGGGAACAATAAGCTGCCAATATGTAATATTAAAAAACACAGTATTTGCTATTGTCGCTTCTGCCACATATACTGTAGGTACTGATTACTGGAGATAATGGCTGTATCACAATTTCACCGCTATACAGGCAACGTTTGGTCAATCATGTACTGAACTGATATGATAAATGTATAATTGTATTTTTGTTTATTAATCTAACTTAAATTATGCATTTATACATTTGCTGAAAGAATGGAGCAGAAGTACAGCACCATGAAGATAGTGGTGTTACTACAAAAAACACCAAGGACGGTAGATTTCTGAAACTTAATTAGTACATCATTGTTGTGATTTCGCTTAAAAGTGCTCCCACTCAGACAGGGGACAAAGCACAACAAGGCAGATTCACGACAGAAGCTCAAAACCTTTCGGCAAGATTTGTGAATGATAAAACTGTGGCTGAGGTCAATGCTTTTTCCATCCCTGTTTCACAACGCTCAGTGGCAAAACAGCTGTCTCTTCTAGCTTAATCACCCTGCTACCCTATGCTACTTAATGATTAAAAAGCAACCACAAGTGAATGCATGACAAAAATGGACAAAAAACAAGGAGTGTAAATTGTGCCTATGGCTCTAACAGCATCATTGTGAGCTGATGGGGGGTAAAAGACATCCACAGATGAAAGTAGATTTTGAACAATTCTGCAGCCCAGGGGGGCCGCGCTTTAATGAGGCAAAACTTTAAGTACTGAATAATAAATAATAAAAATTGACAGCTCATTTAGCTTTCAGTGTACCTCGTAGAGAAAGCCATTACAAGCCATTACTCTTACTGTCTGTGGCATGAACAGTAAGTATTGGTGGAATATGAAATGGCATGAGGTTGGGGAGCTGAACTGATGGTAGATGTGTGTTTCAATGTGAGTTACTGAAAACTACCATAAAGCTCATTTTTACCTTAGGTTAAAAACTAACCGCTCAACTGAAGAGTCGATATGTGATGGGAGGGACAGATTCCATCTGTCCCAGTTTTCACAACTTTGAACTTACCCTAGAGACTAGATACTGCTACTAACTTAATCAACTTTTACTTAATACTTATTAAATGCAAATAGGTTAATGGTGTGAAAGATATGAAAGCAGTAAGCCCCCATGTGAAGTGCTACAACATAACAAATATAACCAATTTGTAGGATGGATTTGTGAGAAGATGAAAATAAAAATCTATTTATTTATATACTTACATATGACAACATGGCCTTGAGTTCTTCATCACTTCTCACAGTGATTCTGTCTCCCACCTCGTCTTCATCTAAAAACAGAAGTTTTTTAAAGTATAGAAAGATTATAGAAATATAGAAAGAGACAAACATTTTCATGTGAGGAGACAGAAGACACTATGACAAGAGAAGAAGATGTTTTGAACCACCTGCAGACTGTGAATTAGTGATCACATCAAATACTGATTTGATTTAGCTGTTTTTTTTCATATTTGCTATACTTTCAATGAAATGCATCATTTTAAAAGCATCTTCACTTTATGCCTGAAGCATATGCACAAAAAAGACAAATCCTTAATTAAAGCCAAACCTGGGAAATTTTGTTTCAAGGGCTCAGACAGTAGTTTTAAAATGATTACTAAAATATAGGACTCTGTTTTTGTGCTATAAAAAAATACAAAACTCTGAAGTATTACTGTTTTGTGAATTTTGAAAATGTCAGGAGTAGAGCAAAAACTGACAAATAGAAATAAATATATAAATTGTAAATATGTCACAATTACAAGGATTGTAATGTCCAAAATCCAAAAGTGTCCAGATTTCCAATGATAGAAAACTGAAATATTTGTTAATATTTCACAAAAGAAAAGTTGACTATATCTCACAGAGAAAAGTTTAAGACCACGACCTCAACTCTGGAGTAAAAGTCAATCTTTAGACAAAAAAAAGAAATAATAATAATAATGTGACATTTATGACAACGATTGTCGAAAAGATTTAAAACATTTTTGGGCAAATATCACCCATTGATTGATTAATAGTTTCGGGAGTTGAACAAAGTAAAGTGAGGAGCCTTGACATTCTTCAAGTTGAACGTTTCAGCTGTGAAGAAATACAAGTGTTTACACAGACACTTACATTCAAAGGCAGTGACAGTAGCTTCAGGCATGACATCTCTGATGGCGACCTGAAATGTGATTTATGACATTAGAGGCACAGGGTTAAACACTGTGGGGCTTAGGAACACACACACACACACACACACACACACACAGGTTTGTATTCCTGAATGTTATTATTTAATGGGTCACATTGATGTAACTTCTGTTATAATAGTGGGGCTCAGACATGTTCAGTCTAAAACATTAACTGTCAAATCCAAAGTGTGTCTGGAAGTCACTGTGCAGCTGTTTCTGAAGGAGGAGAAGAAGAAGAAGTCAGTTAGCATTTCTGAGGACTCACCAGCAGGTCATTGAAGTTCAGCAGAGATGGACAGTCCACGGATGAGTCCATGTCTCCTGACGGTGTCTTTATTCGGATCACTATCGCCTCGGTGTCCATCGCGGAGAGGTTGTTCACATCGAGCGCGAGCATAAAGAGGAGAAATCAAGCCTCATGACAACAGTTAGCCTCAGCTAGCTTAACCAGCTCATTTCCTGCAGCGGCTCGCTGGCGACAGCTGCTAGCATCCTGCTCCCTCCAGACACTTGTGTTGAAGTGATGCGGGGATTTTAAAACACCGCTCGCCGCCGAGCTCGGTCTCCACCCGCGGCCACGGTCACGACAGAACCGCGGGGAAGATTCAACTTTACCCGTAAGTGTGTTAGCTTCCTGAGGCTAAGTTTGACACTGAGTTATCCTGGAGGTTTGGTCATGAAGCTAATTGAGGAAGCCGCAGCACTTCCGAATCAACATCCGCTCGGAGCTTTTCAAAATAAAACACTGCCATCTGCGTTAACAGAAACATGGACGCTTTTACTTTTCAAGTAGCTCTGGTCAAAAAAACAATATCAATAATCATCGCTATTTATTTATCATCCATAGCAACGGGTGGCAAAAGTCAAATTCACTGAAATATAAGCACTGTACAAGCACAGTGAGGAGGTGTAACACAAACTTGATTCACCTCAGATTTGTTTATTAAGTAAGTTTATGAAGTACTTTTTTGTTTTCACACAACAAATACGAATCAAATCTAATTTTATTTGTATAGAAAATATTCACAAATCACAATTTGTCTCATAGGGCTCAACAAGGTGCGACATCCTCTGTTCTTAACCCTCAACAAGAGTAAAACTACCCAAAAAATCCCATTAACAGGGGGTCTCAGAGGGACACGTGAGGGATCCCTCTCCCACGACGGACAGAAATGCAATAGATGCCGCGTGTAACTGAGAACATCAGCAAAATAACAGTTTTTACAACACTGATTAGAAGAAACTGTTTGTAACATCACGGAGAAGTGTGTCAATCTTTAAAGTATTTGTACTAAAGAAAATGTCTGATAGAGATGAAGGGAGCAGCTTTTCCAGTTTGATCTTGTGTTTGAATTATACCTGCACATCACATGAGGATGAACGTCTGAGCTCACACTGCCACTTTTGAAGGATTTGATCTTTCAGCCTCTGTTCAATAGTTAGTTTCAACCGGTTGATGCTGCTTCTCTTCTGCAGAGGAAGGAAAGGAAAAGACAAACCACAGAATTTGTTTAACCTACAACACCCATGGAGATGCACATACACCAGTTTCATAAAGGCTCAGCAAATTATTAAAATCACAGCCTTCATTCAGGAGAAGAAATCAGTCAAGTCAATATTGTGACATTTATCCTGATAACTAATGTGACAAATTATGACATTTTGATCATTTTTGACCGTGTCCAGCTCATCTTTCAAATAAGAGGCCTGATATAAAAATGTTGTGTTTGAGATTGTGACATATGTACTGATATGACACTTAACAAGCAGTACTAGTCTTCGTTCAAATCTACCCTTGAGTGAACTCTTGCTCATATTTTTGCATATGCTAGATGTCTATATAAAATCAATAATGACAGTCTGGCCATCTACTTCCCCTACAAAAGGAGAAATGGCTCAGATTTCCTGTTCTGCTGCTGAGAATTTAAAAATGCTTGACTTGACTTTGTTTGACTACAAATAGGCCATACAATTAAATAACCAAATTTGGTTCAAACAGTTTTTTTATTTTAATTCTACTTGTTGGAATATGAATGTATTGTGAATAAAGTTATTTGAAATATTTGTCACTTCTCAACGAACCAAGATATCCCAGTTATGCATATGCTTTTGTGTTAGACTGTAAAGCCTTGCAAAGAAAAGTGCTTGAAGGCAACACTTGGTGACACACAATGAACAAACCTTTTTATACTGAAATTGAATTATTGAATACTACATAAAAAGAGAATGTTATCACCTTGGATGCTTTAGCTGTACATGACGGATTTGAGACCGAGTCTCATAAGAGAGTATATTATTGACAATAGCTTTCTGAAGGTATTATAGGAGGGTACATTTTATTTTAATACATCAACTTAGATTAGAACAGATGACCTTAGATTACTTTTCTAAATGTTCAATCAATATTTTGATGTCGTGTGAAAACTGCGAATGGTCCGCACTTACACAGAGAGGCACAGCTGAAGAGATGAAAAATGGACAAGGCTTCTCTTCTGTACGGACAATTCACCTCAGCTAAACTCTTTTTTAAATGTGTCTGGCCCTCATGACTGCGGCTTTTCAAGTATTCAAAGAGTTTTCCCCGTCTTTCACTCTACACAGCATTAGTATTTAAAGGTTTTTACACGGCATGAGTCATTTGTATATAATTGATGTAAAACACTTAGAACTGTTTACGGCCTTATGATTGAGGAGCGGCATCAGTCTCTGAGCCTGCTGCTCCCCGACGAGCTCTGATTGCTCTTTCAACAAGAAGAAATTGATCCCTGAGCCAAGTGAGGTCTCTTTTCCTGTTAATTTACAGGACTCGGCTCACAGCTCTATCTCTCTATCTGTCATGTACACCAACTGTTTGTCCATCCATCCATCCATCCGTTGTCCATCTATTTGTTCCTATCCATCCATCTGTCCATCTATCCATCCGTTGGTGCATCCATCCATCTATTCATCCATCCATCTGTCTGTTTGTCCATCCATCTATTCATCCATC